TCTTTCCACTGAATGTTCAGTGAAGAGAAGAGTGTAAAGCCCTGAGGTTTGTTTTCTGCCTGGAACACGTCTAGTGGTCAGCTGGCAAATTACAATGAAAGGCCTTCATTTTATGCTCAATTACAACAGGGTCCCTGCTGGTTTCTCCCCTTACCGGGTTGAGCGCCAAGCTTGAGGATGAGGGTTGGGGAGTGGGTGGGTTTCTTTCTAGCCATGGGTCCAATTTGGCCATCACAGAGGGTACCGGAAGAGAGGGGATCATGGGGACCAGTGGAGAGCAGAGTGGAATCCTGCTCCTCCTCCTAATCTTCCTCCTCATTCTCATCATCATCACATTATCATCACGATCACCACATATTCTATAGTTCACCCCTGTGTGGGGCACTGTGCCAGGTGCTTTACGTACATAGGGGCGTTTAGCTCCCACAACTGTACTCCACTGCCCTTAGGCACCCGAGGCTTAGAGAAGCCACATGACTTGTCCAAGGACACAGCTGGTCAAACGGTAGAACCGGAAATCGAGCAGGTCTGCTTGAACACAAAGCCTCTGCCGTCAGCCGTGATGCCCTATGTGGTCTCTTTGGTACTTGAGTAAAGTGCAATGAACAAATGAGCAAATGGATAAAAGAATAAATCCCACAGGGTGAAAAGAAAGGACCGGAGGTCGCAGTAGTAGTGGAGTTACTGAGGTGTCATTTGTTCTTTTGTTGTCTCTTCACTTCCCATCCCAAACAGTATAAACGCTGTTGCTCGGTTCCTGTAAATCTCAAGTCAGAGTGTGTCTGCCTTTGCTTCTTGTGCCAGTTGAACCCCTCGCTAAAGGGCCCTTGAGCCATGGATCGAGGGTGGTGCTCAGCTTGTAGCCAAGGCAGGCAGAACCGAGCCCCTCACAGAATTTCCTGGAGATATTTACAGGCAAGTAGCCCCCTCCTGAGAGGAAGGGGTGTAGAATTTGCAGAGAGAATGTGAGTTCCAGTTTCTTACCTGGCGTCTCGGCTGGCCAGATACCAGGCTGGACACTGTCTTTTCGAGGCGGGCAGGCCAAGAGTGTCTTGGTTTGTGTAAACTGTGAGCTCCTGGCCCCTGGGAGGCCTTATGCTAAATTATAACATGAAGTCCGTTTGTTAACCCAGAAGAATTTGGCCTGTAGGTTTATAAAAACATGCCCGTGGCGAGGCCTCTGAGCCGGTTGGCAAATAATTGTCTGCAGACCCGGGATCTCAGGGCAGGGGAGAGAGGGAAGAGGGCTGAGCTGCTATCTTTTAATCTAATTGTCCTCAGTTCCATGGTGGGGATCAATAAACTGTGAACACAGGAAGTGAAAGCTCCAGGGGAGAGAACCAGTTGCAGCTGGCAGAAGTGGCCCACCATGGCAAGTGGTGATGCCATTTTAATTAGGCGAAAGCCTGAATGGGCGCCGCGTGTAGACCTTCTCCTGGGTGCCCTGGGTTGCTGGGAGAGAGAACATGCGCCCTTTGTGTGCTTTGCCAAAACCCACCGGCTGCCACCTCGCAGGAGACTTACATTGGAGTCACTGGTTTCCAGAAGGGTGACAAGTGCACTGTGTGTCGCTGAATGAGGGGGCCCGTCTTGCCTGACCCTGCCAGCTTGGGCCTGGACTCGAGCCATTGCGGCAATGGCCCTGATTTCTGAACGGGTCGGGTGTTTCCAGAAGCTTTTGCGAGAGCCGATTGGGGGTGAACAGGAAAAACAAGGGTGGAGGAAGGAAGCGGTAAGGCTGGGCTGGGCCTTTCCAGGCTCGGAAGGCTTGTTTTATCTCCCCACTTCTCAGTTTCACACCTTATAAGCCGAATAGCATCTTGTGCTGCTAAGCGTGTCAGCTTTTGATGATGATAATAATAATGATAATAAAAATAAGTGAGCACTTAACAACCACTTTCTAGGTACCAGGCACTGTTCTAAGTGCATCTCCATCTGCACTCTAGTCCTTTCACAGGGTTTCTACTCTTATCCCCATTTTAGGGATGAAGAAACAGAAGCACAGAGAGGTTAAGTAACTTACCCTAAGACCCAGAGCCGGCAAGCCAGGATTCAGATCCAGGGACTGTGGCATTCCAGCCAGAGGTGGATGCAGTGTGCTCTGGACTCAAGTATGGAGAACGTCACCCGCAGAGGAACCTCAGACTCTCAGCTTTAGGAAAGCAGGAACCACATATGTCACGCTCACTGTGGGATCCAGGACAGAATGTTCTAGGCACAGTCCTTGTGCTCTTTCAGTGCTTGTTGCTACACTGGTTTTTGACAAGGCAGAGAAATGCACTACCAGGACCTGCGATTTTTGTTACATACAGTTCAACGGATGGTTGCTTATTCGTTCACTCATTCATTCCGTAAACATTCCATCGAGCACGTGTCCCAGGCATTGTACTAGGTGTTAGAAGTAGAGAAATGAACATGATGAGGTCTTTGCCTGCAAAGCACTCACGTCTGGAGGTAGGTGCACACAGACATAACGTGCACACACAGGTGTTGCTTCGGCCCAACCTCTCCTCTCCGTTTCCCTCACTTGCTGCCTGGGTCTCTCCTCAGGCTAAGACTTACCACGTTTTACACGGCATTATAGTTGTGTTTTGTGCACACTCGTGCGCACGTGCGTGTCTTGTGTCCACCAAGACATTCGTGGCTGTTGGAGGCCAGCTGTGCTCCTAGAACAGTGCTCCTCCAAGTTTGGTCCACACACCGGTGGCGTTAGCATCACCTGGGAGCTGGTTGGAAATGCTGACTTTTACTGACTTACGAGCTCGGGGGGTAGGGTCCAGGAATTCGTGTTTTCCCGTTTCTCCGGGCGATCCTGATGCGTGCTCAAGTTTAGATGAGCTGCTAGGGTAGGGAGCCCAGGTCCTGTCACGTGTGGGTGCTCCGTAAATAACCTTTGAATGATTGCATGCATATTGACATTGAGTGGGGGAACTGGGTTGGTCTTACTAGGTCTGGGCAGGACTCCAGGTATCCGGTTTGCCAAGTACGAAGAGGCTATGGGGAGATGGAGTCATATTTCTTCCCCTCTCAAAAAATTTGGATGGAGGCGCTAAATGGCTGGGAAGATCGACTCCACCAGCATTGAAGAGCAACTGAGCATGTGACCTGATGGGAACCGAGTGACTGGGCCAGTTTATAATGAAGGCCAGGAGATAAAACAGGGCGGAGTGAGAACTCCGTGCAGATGGTTTGGGACGGTATGCTAAAGCCACAAGCGGAGAAGAATTGTATGTTTGGGACTCTTGTCTGTTCCGGGGCCTTATTGCAAATTAAACTTCCCCTCTTCTTGCCTATGTGGCAGAGCCTTGGTGTAAATCTATTTCAAACTAGGGCTTCTCTCCCATCCCGTTTCCCTTTTCAGTTTCTTGAACTCTCCCGTTGCTCCTCGGCTCCCTCCTTGTTTCTGCCCAAGAGGGTATTGTTGTCCAGACTTTGATCAGGATTCAAGCTACCCTGTGGCCTGACATTTGTCAAGGGCAGGGATGTGTGGGCTTCTGTGAGTAATCAGCAGCTGTTTCTGGAGTCATGGTTTTAAGGAATCTCCCTCCCTCAACAATGTGATCGTTCCCCCCCCAACACCTCCCCCTCCCCCCTGAAAAACCTTGCCTAAGAGCAGTTGGCTCAGTATAATAAAACACAGCTTGGCATCGGGAGCTACATACACAAGAGACATTTAATAAACTGCGTAGCATTTTGGCAGTGGGAGGGACAGTAGCACCCAAAGAGACGCATATGGTGGGCTTAACAGCATCCTGGACTCATGGGAAGAGGATCCCTGGGTTTAGCCGCCCCGGGGTGAGGAGGTGTGGTGAACAAGGGGTTAGAGAGGCTAGGCTGCATCCTCGGGAACCCTGCTCTGCCTAGGTTTTCCCAAGGACAAGGCTTATTTATGTGATCTGATAAACACTTAGGTACTGCTCATTCTCGGCCAGGCACTGTTCTCTAAACCCTTTGCATATTTTAATTTTTAATTTTTTGTCTTTTAATGGCTTTATTGACGTAGAATTCACATACCAATTTACCCATTTAAAGTGTGCAATTCAGTGGCTTTTAGTATATTCACAAAGTTGTGCAACCATCACCATAATCTAATTTTAGAACTTTTTGTTTTTACATCTTTATTGGAGTATAATTGCTGTACAGTGGTGTGTTAGTTTCTGCTTTATAACAAAGTGAGTCAGTTATACATATACACATGTTCCCATATCTCTTCCCTCTTGGCATCTCCCTCCCTCCCACCCTCCCTATCCCATCCCTCCAGGCGGTCACAAAGCACGAGCTGATCTCCCTGTGCCATGCGGCTGCTTCCCACTAGCTATCTACCTTACGTTTGGTAGTGTATATGTGTCCATGCCTCTCTCCCGCCCTGTCACAGCTCACCCTTCCCCCTCCCCATATCCTCAAGTCCGTTCTCCAGTAGGTCTGTGTCTTTATTCCTGTCTTACCCCCAGGTTCTTCATGACATTTTTTAAAAAAATTCCATATATGTGTGTTAGCATACGGTACCTGTCTCTCTCTTTCTGACTGACTTCTCTCTGTATGACAGACTCTAGGTCCATCCACCTCAGTACAAATAGCTCAATTTCGTTTCTTTTTATGGCTGAGTAATATTCCATTGTATATATGTGCCACATCTTCTTTATCCATTCATCCGATGATGGACACTTAGGTTGTTTCCATCTCCGGGCCACATGTCCTTTGCATATTTTTAAACAGCTTTCTTGAGGTGTCGTTTACATACCGTAAAATTCACCTGTTTTGAGGGTACCATTCAATGATTTCTTTAGAGTAAGTTTACAGAATTGTGCTGCCATCATCACGATCTGATTGTGGAACATTCCTCTCACCCCTCGTGCCCATTTACAGTCAATTCCCAATCTCACCCCCAGCACCAGGCAGCCACAAATCTACTTTCTGTCTCTATGAATTTGCCTTTTCCAGAAAGGTCGTATAAATGAAATCATGTAATATGCGATCTTTTGTGATTGGCTTCTTTCACTGAGTGTAACGTGTCTGAAGGTCATTCCTTTTTATTGCCAAATAGTATTCTGTGGTATCGTAACAGTGCTTTCTGTTTATCACCTCGGTTCTTCCTCATGACAGTATCATGATTCACAGATGTGGAAACTGAGGTGCAGTTAGTACTTCGGAGGGTAATGGTTCAAACCCAGGCAGTCTGGCAGTAGAGTGTGTGCTCTCATTTAGTCTCTCTTGCTGTGCCGCCTCTCCATGGGTGCAAAATATGTCTTCATTTCTAAGATGGGGAGTTTCTTTTATGTAACGACCGCTGAATTTCTAAAACTGTAATACCTAGTTTTATGCAATCTGATAAGATTTTCTTGAACGCCTAATTTGTGCCTGGAGTTTTACTAGGTGCTGTGAGGGATGGAGACACGTTTCTGCTTTCGAAGAATTTAGCATTTTGCTTGGTAGATAAGACTCAGATGCGCATGGTAACATAGCTCCCCGACGGCCACATGGGATCATATAGGATCTAAAGCCTACATGCATACTCCAGGTAGAGGAAGTCAACAAGAAGAGGCTGATGTCAGTGAGAAGAGCTGAGGCCAACTTTTCAGAGGCCATGGCTGTGAGCCAGCTCTAGCCCCTTGGCCTAATCAGTCCCAAGTTGCAGGAGTGGAAGCTTGTAATTGTTGAGAACCCGCACTATGTTTTAATGTCCCTTCCACCCACAAAGTTTTCTGCTTGTTATGTTCCAACTTTTAGATCCCATCTGTGTGTCTATAATTATACCAGGAAGCTTTTCCTCTTAAGCTGTTTTTAATAGAAATGTCTTGAGGGGGTTTTGCTCTCTTTAGAAAAACTGGTTAGCCAAGGCACAGGGCTTGATGTGTGTGTGTGTGTGTGTGTGTGTGTGTGTGTGTGTGTGTGTGTGTATTGTAAAATGCCTCATAGCATCCACTTCTTAGGCTGGCCACCAAAGCCTGGCAGACAAGGATTCAGGAGTAAGAATAGTACATGGAACTGCATTTAAACTCTAGAAGGCCTGGTTTAGGTAGCTTGTGCTGTGTAACAAACCACCTCGGAACTTAATGGCTTAAAACAACCACCATTTATTTGGCTCATCATTTTGTGGATCGTCCGGGCAGTTCTTTGTGGACTGGCTCAGCTTACCTCATGTGTGTATCTGTGGCCAGCAGGCGGGTCAGCTCATGACTGGGCCGCAAGTCTGCCTCTTGGCAGGCTTTTAGTCAGGGTATATGGCTCTTGGCTAGGGTGCCTTAGTTCTCTTCCACGTGGCCTCTTATCTCCAGCAGGCTAGCTCAGGCTTGTTCACAGGGTGGACACAGGGCTCCCAAGAGCAGCAACAGAGGGCAGGTCCCAGTTCACAAGCGCTTTTCCAAGCCACTGCTGCATAGTGTTTGTTAATGGTCCGTTGGCCAAAGCAAGTCACATGACCAGCTCCGATTCAAGGAGTGGGAAAATCAGCTCCACCGCTTGATGGGAGATCTGCAGTGTCATATTTCAAGGGTGTGAATGCAGGGAGAGGATGAATCTGTGGCCATTTTAGTAATCATTCTCAAAGTCAGAGCATATAATAGCAATAAGGTTAGCCAACATCTACTGAATGCTTACAAGCTGCAGGTACTATTAGAAGTACTTTATATATGTATCTTAAGTCATTTCAGTCACACAGTGGCCCTGAGAGCTAGGTGTTAACCATTTCCCCCATTTTTCAGAGGAACAACTTGAGTCTCTGAGAGGCTAAGTAACTTGCCCAAAGTCACACAAATAGTAAGAGGTGGCCCAGGATTCTCATCCAGGCAGCCTTGCTCCTGTTCCAAGCACTTTACACATATCGTGGCATTTCATTCCCATGACCATCTGCTCCATCAAGGACTGCTTTTATCCCCATTTTCTAGACGAGGAAACCCAAGCTCCAGGAAGTAATTTATATGTCGTAGGCCGCACAGCTTGCACACGGGCAAGCTGAGATTCAACTCTCCAAAGCGTCTGCACTCTTATCTAATTCGCAGCATCATTTCACTTACCCAGACTTTATTTCATAGTCTCAATTTACAGTGGTGGAGGAGGGGGATCTGGGAACTCTCCAGAACATAGATAATAATAAAGAAGAGGAAAAAAGACATCTAGAGATGCAGCTAGAGTTGTCATCACGAAGCCCATGCATTTGCCAGGGGAGCTTATTAGTTCGTTGTCCACTGTACCGAGTGGAGCCAACTGTGCACTGTCCCCTCTCCAGGGCCACCGTTCGCGTGGGCGCACCGGAGTGTGCGAGCTGGCGCCCCGACGAGGCTCACAAGCTCACTCATCTGGTTTCTACCCTGTAGAGATGAGGGAAGCAAATAAAACAGGATTAGGTTAAAAAGTCTGACAATAGCTTGTAAGGGCACCACCATCGGACAATGAAGGAAGAGTCAGAAGAACTAGTTTACCAAAAGCACAAGAACTCAAAGTACGAGAGTTTGGGGGTGTTGGCGTAGGGCCAAACAGCCCATAAAAAGTTCCATAGCTCCCAGGAGGGGGTCACCGTCTTACTACTTGGTATAGTAGTTGGTTTTTAGAGAGGAAAAACGCTTAGGTTACCAGATGCTTTGTTGATCAGGGAGGGAAGTAAATAATGAAATTTTGAAAGATTTGTCATAGATGATGGCGATGAGATTAATGTTTCTTGGGTGGAGCACCTCATACCCTGAGATGACAGGCAGATGAGACTTTACGGAAACTGACATCTCAGGGTTGCAGTGGCCTCTTGGGGTCACTTTGACTTTTCATATTTTTCCTCTTGGGTTTCTGCAGGGTGGATGTAATTCTAAATGAAGATGAGTGGAGGCTCTCAGGGATCGAGGCGGTGGCCAACGACCATTAAGACTTGTGCAAAGGCAGCTTTTTGACTCCAGAGGTGGCTGCTTCCCCACCAGGAGGGTTTACACCTGGCCTTCAGGGTAGTTCTTCAAGGCAGATAGAGTCTGATGGGCTGGCTGGCAATATTTGGACACTGGTATTATGTTGCAAAATGCCTTCAGTTCCTGGGATGAAAGATGCAGAGCAGAAGATGGGCACAGTCTCGCCACCGGATTGTGGGAGCCTTCTCAGCAGCTGGTGAGTCATGGACGCGCATGTGCGTCTTCAGTGGGGCCGGGAGAGAAAGGAGACCCACGTTTCAAGGTAAGGTGGTTTGAGCGATTACACATGTGGATTGGAGGTGTCTGGGGTACAGAGTTTGACCAGGACTCGGGAGCTTTGGATGGGTTCGGTGAAAGTACGATGATACTAAACGCTGCACTCGGCTGTTCAGCTCATTAAGGTCTTCATAAATGCCCCAGAGCCAGAAATATGGAAAGAATTAAAGTAGCCCTTTGGAGGCCTTCATTGAAATTTCTTTTCTGTGTATCATATGTGGTCAAGATAGCAGCAGACAGCATGAAAGGAAAGGGCCCTTTGTGCCCTTGTCAGTGTGGGGCTCAGATGGGGTGAGCTTGTTCGTCGTTAATCCTTGTCATGATATCTGTGGAGGCGAAGAAGAAACGAAATGCCCTTCAGCTAATTTCTCAGATTGCTGGAGCAGTCGATGGAGGCTCAAGAACTGGGTTGCCTGAATCTCGGAAGCATCTGCTCTCCCAGGGGAAAGAAAATGTCCTCCTTACACAGTGGACGCTAGCATCTAGGAGAGCGTTTTCTTTCTCTGGGAACACACCATTTTCTGTTCTTGTTTTTCACCTTTCCGTACTTGGGTGTGCAGAAATTTCCATTGGTCTGTTCGCCTTGTCTGTTGTTAAAGCATCAGGTTTTCCGGTGTATGCTGCTAGTTCATTGTGAGTAGCACCCAGCCCGCCTTTGGTGTATAATGGGATTTGAATGTGTAGCCTATGGGAATTAGCTGTGACACCGGCTGTGCGCGAGTGTGCTGTGAAATGACACGTATCCACATGCATGTGCCTTCCTGCAAAGGCATGAGCACACACATGCCTATTGTGGGGCTAATCAAATAAAGTTTTGCCCTCCTGCCCTTGCGGGCATCATATTTACCTCACTGAGCACGAGAGAGCTGCAGTGGAGCGGGCGGGCGGGCAAGGACGGGGAGGGGAGTTTGAGATGCCATATGGAAGTGGTTGCAAAACAGATGGGGGAAGTCTGGAAAAATCCAATTTGTTGTCCTCGGGTATTTTAAGGAATGTCTTGACATTAAGGTGTTAGAAAGGATTTCAGTGCCCAAGACGGGTTAGAATTAGATGGTACAAAGCAACTTCCCAGGTAGGATTGGTATATAACTAACCACTGAATAATGATGTTTCATTCGGGGCTGATGGGTCGGTGGAAAGGCAAGTAGGTCTGTCTATTAGGCAGGGTTTGGGTGGAAGGAGTTGGCCAGAGTTGGGGTAGTCAAGCACCTCTTAGTGGAAAGAAAGAAGTATGCAAATGATCTTATTGTAATCTCGTCAACAGTGAAAATGGAAGGGAGGAACAGAAAGATGCTTTGCATCGCTGGGGAAGGAGCTGTCGCCAGTAGATCGGTTATACAGCGTCAGACCCCTAATATGGCATTTTTAATGATCGTCTCTGAGGGGGATTTTGATGCAGTCCAGAAACGTAGCCCTTCCCGCCCTGGACCATGCACCCATCCAACTTGGACGCTATTGACTGTACCTTTAGAGGTGATGGAAGCTCATTTGATGTGTTTGATCCCATGATGGGAGCAATACCACACCCTCTTCAGGGGTTCCTTTCATGGGCTTCTATTGAAGAAATCACATTTGCGGTCACGTGGAAGCCCCGGATGTCCTTGTGAACCAGCTGTTAAGGGGTCATGGCCAGTGGCTCCACTCGGAGTGAAGGCTTTCTCTCTCTTAGCTCCCATGCTCAGCATCTAGTCCCAGGGCTGGAGAGCTTAGAAGGCCTGGGAGGGCTTCAGACCTCTGGATCTTAGCCGTGGTGACACGACGGAAGTGCTCCTGGGTCTGCCTCCATTCCTGATCCAGTGCCCTTGCTGTTCTGCTGTCTGTTTGCTAATTTCTCTTGTCCCCTACATTACCGTAATGCTCCTAAGGAACGGTGATGGTCCTATCGAAGTTGCCTTTCCTTTCCTTTAAATTTCAAAAGAAGACAGAAATGCACTTTTACTTACTACCGGGGCGGGGGGGGGGGGTGCATCTAGTTTCCCCAACCTCTTGCTCTTTCCTTTCGGTGTCAGATACGCATCTCATCTCTTGGTTTCATTTCCAACTGAACAAATGAACTTAATAAGGTTGCATTGTAATAAGAGCTGGGCATACGGGTTCCTACTATTTCAGGACTTTTTCTTGAGGGTGGGGATCATAGAGGGGTGACATCAGCTTTCACAGTAATTCAAGTTGGATTTGCAGTTTACCATTCTTCAAAATGATAATTTTGCCAATTATAATCAAACATGTTTTAAGAACCTGAATTTTCTCACTTAAAGTTATTCCCCTAGACACACTTTAAAATTTTTAAATTAATTACCATTTCACTAATTAATTACTTAATTGGCTCTTAACCCAATGATTGAATAGATTTTAACAGAAAAAGCCCAAAAGAAAACAAAACCAAAACCAAACAAAATCTACACAAGGATTTTTTCTTAACTAGAAATATTTCTGGAATGATCAGACATTAAAATCTGTACTACATAGGTGAAACTGGGATTTTAAAAATTTTTGAGGAAAAGACATATCATTGTAATTGATAGGAGTCAAGATTTCAATCTAATTAATTGGCTTTTAAAATTTTGGGTCAGTTAAAAGCACATGAAATATACTTGCTCTTCATGGGAAAGAACAAATTTACAGATTTGAACACATTCATATAAATCATCATTTTGATTTTTCTCAGCATACCCACTCCTACCCTGGGCACTTGGGAATGGGCTGTTTCTGCTTATATTATGAACATATAAAACTGGACTCCTTGATCTACTGTAACAGACCAAGGAAACAAAGCCATGTGATTTCTAGACGTGACATGGTATTTGTACACGTACTGTTTTCACCTACCCAATCCACTGCTGGCTCTTCTGATAGTGCTATTTGCCAGTATTAGAAAAGAGGTGGGGCTTCCCTGGTGGCGCAGTGGTTAAGAATCCGCCTGCCAGTGCAGGGGACACGGGTTCAATCCCTGGTCTGGGAAGATCCAGCATGCCGCAGAGCAGCTAAGCCCGTGCGCCACAACTGCTGAGCCTGGGCTCTAGAGCCTGCGGGCCACAACTACTGAGCCCACGTGCCACAACTACTGAAGCCCCTGTGCCTAGAGCCCATGCTTCGCAACAAGAGAAGCCACCGCAACGAAGAGTAGCCCCCGCTCACTGCAACTAGAGAAAGCCCGCGCGCAGCAACGAAGACCCAATGCTGCCAAAAATAAATAAATTAATTTAAAAAAATAAGATACTAAAAAAAAGAGGGAGATAAGGAATAAGCTGTCCATGCCATCAAAATATGAAGTCCCTCACCATCCATCGCAGTTCATATAATTCTTTAAAACCTTTCTCTTGAGGTGTGAGCCTTTGGCAGGTTCAGCCACGTCCAGGGTGGCCTGAAAGAAGCAAGTATCTGTCAGGGTTGGGCTTGCTGTCCTTTTCACTCCCGGCACACTGTCTGAAGGACTTCGGAGAGCGTGACATCCTGGTAGTGGCACCAAAAGCCGATGATCACACGAAGGTCTAGTTCCCATCAAAGTTCGACCTCACCAAGAATTCTTTTCCAATACATTTTAAAATTGAAGTAGAACCTAAACATAGAAGAGGGACCACAGTTAACAGTACAGCTTGATGAATTTTCACAAGCTCAACACGGAACAAGCAACAGAATGTTACCAGCACCCAGACGCCCTCGTTGGCTCTATCCACACACCGTCCCCTCGCCCCCCGCCCACAGGAAAATCGTATTCTGACTAATAACACCATGGATTCACTTTGCTTATTTTCATACTTTATATAAATGGAATCATACAGTATGTGCCTTTTTGTATCTGGCCTCTTCTGCTCCACATATGTTTTGTGAGATTCAAGCCTGTCGTGGGTAGAGCAGGGCTCATTCATCCACATCGCTGTATGGCATTCCATCGTGTAAGTAGGCTGTGGTGCATTTATTTATCCAGCCTGTTGTCCATGGGCATTTGGGTCTTTTATGGTTTAGGGCTATTCCTAATAGCGCTTCTATGAACATTCTTGTCCGTGACTTTTGGAGAACATGTGTTTCTGTTTCTTTTGGATGGATATATATCCAAGAGGGGAAATTCTGGGTCATTCAAGAGGGATTATTTATCCAGAAACCTTTTGTTCCCCCGCCCCCATCGTCTTCTACAGGTGAAGGTACTTACTGCTGGTGTTTTTCTGATTCTTCCCCCCTGTGCTCTAGAGCTCAGGGGCTTCACTGAGGGGAGGGGGAGCTTGGGTGGGTCCCTCGGAGCAGTGGCCCTTTTATCTGGCTCAGGGACAGTGTTGGAATTCCACACAATATCTTGTTTTAAGAATGAGCTCTATAGGTTTAAAAAAATGAGTTTGGAAACAGGCGATTTTGGTTAAGAGGGGGCAAACAGGCGTCCATGGCAGCGTCGGGACGGCCGATGCGCCCAGACAGTGTTGGTACTTCATGGCTTTTCCTTCAGTCAGTCCTCACCTCGGTCCTGCGAGGCTGCCACGGCTTCCTCCCTAGTTTACAGCTGAGGAAACAGAAGGGTAAAGCGGTTAGGTGACATTCCTACAGACACACATCTAAAAGAGAGCTGAACCCAGGCAGCCTGACTCCACGACTCCTCTCCTTAATTATCCAAACCAGAACAGTCTGCTCCCACGCACTGCCCATTTCACAATCTCTCCCAGACTGTCAAGGGCCTGCGTGATACATTATGGTGACAGTAGTTGACGTTTTTGGTCCAAATTTTCATTTCTCTGGTAAAGCTATTGCCTAAGGAGCCACGGTACAATAGGGACAGGCCCAAATAAAAATGATCCCACTAGGTTTTCTCTTCCCCTAAGTCCATTTCAGAGCAGAATCTCACCCTTTGTATTTGCCCTTCTACATGCTCAGTCCTCTGTGCTTGTTGCTCTAAACCTGGGAGATAAGCACGATAAATGTTACTAGCCCTTA